TGCTAGATCACGTTTGGCAACCAACACCTCAGAGGGGAACGCTGTTGCGAGCCATCACAGCATCACAGGCTGCCCCTTGCACGGGTTTTCTGCCCCGAGATAGCCTCCTCCGGGGCCTTGAACATACGTTGAAGACGACGAAACGTGGACAGCTTCTTTCAGGTCGTCCGTGTACAAGACCCCCATACGTTAACCCCCGCCCCCCCTACCCTTTCCCATTCTTCTCATGTTATCTAATCATCTTTTTTTTTCTGTATATGAGATCCGCAAAGCAAAACGCAGTCTCTGACATGACTACATTGTAAGGACGTGGAGGTGAGCGAGATTTAATGAACGAGATCATTGTACTTTTTTCTTCTGTAATGGTATAGGATATCTGGAAAGGCGAGCAAAAGGAGTACGTACACTACCTTACACATGGGTCCACAATACCACCGCAGCTGAGCTATTTCTTGATTCTTCTGGGAGTTCATGTATTTTTGAACAGTCAAGCAGTCAATCAGTCAATCAGTCAGCAGAACTTCAGTTCATATGAAGCATTGAACAGCCATTGTGAGCTGATGCTGTGTGGATCGGCGTGGAACAGCACTCAAAGTCGTAGAGCTGCAGGCAGCGCCTTGACGATGAGTTTCATGGATGGACAGACACCAGGGCGGCGCCAGTCGAGTAGGGAATAGACCGATCGATCGGGGTTTTCGCTGACACTACGTGAAGGTGCAGAGCGCGTCTGCAACTGGCTGGGGCGATCGGGGGCCGGTCGATTGGGCGATTGGCCGCAGCTAGGAAGGTGCAGCTCACGGCCGGTCGCTGGAAGGAAGGGAAGGAAGGGAAGCTTGGGAAGCAAGCGTGAGACGTGACGAGTTGCTGAGCGTCAGGTGCTCCTCCGGAGCGGACGCTACGGGTGCCCCACTATGACTGTGGCTGGTGTGTCGAGAAAGCGGCCAGAAAGCGGGGAAACAGTCGTCATACCAGAAGAGCTTCCTGCCCTTGGGCCAATGAAACCGTGTGATGGCATGTGCCTTGGCACCACCCCCGACACACCTGATGTCGCTGCTGTCGCTGATGATACGCCTGGTGCATATTGCATTCCTCACGAGATGGGGGTTGTCATGGCCCGAGTGGTGCGGCTTGTAAAGCGGTCAGCTCTGGGTTCGCAGGCTGTACCATTGATTGTCTCACAGGAGTAGCTCAACCGTTCAACGAAGAGATAGGTAATCTATATACGGGCACAGGCAACGGAATTGTGTTGGAGAACCCTAAGGTACAAGGCATTTTTCTGGCAGTCGCATCATGTCTGTAGCACTTGCCTCCGTAGCACATTGTGGCTTCGAAAGTTACGCAAGGTGGAAAGCGCGGGCGAGAAAGAAAGACAGACACCCTTGTAGCTGGCGTCGATCTAGCATGGCCCTGCCCCATCCCGCCTGTTGCCTGCTTCCCTGGTCGCCTTGGTCAGCCAGTCGACCTTGCCTTGCCGCTGAACGCATCTCACTAGCCACTCTTCGACCTGGCTCTCTTCGTGAGGGTACATGAGAAAGGCACACCACCTACGACATCCCACCTGAGAGACTCGTACCGCACTCGCCCCCTTCTGAACCCCTCGCTCGGTCTCTACCCGGCTTGCGACGGTCACCCGCATGACGACGAACGACCGTGCCGCTTTAAATACAACGGGCCCCCCCTCTTCATTTCCACTCGCCTCCTCGCCTTCTTGCCTTGCCATCCGCAGTCGAGTTGCCTATCGACCGTTTCAGTCCAGCAAGCATCAGAGTCGAAGTGAGGTTCCGCTCGCAATACAAACCCCAATCGACGTAGTACACGAGCCGAAGCCAACACCAGCATCATCATAACAACATGGATCGAGTTCACGCACGTAAGTCCTTCCTCTCACAGTGGCTGGTCAACGGTCGTGACCTCCGCCTCTACACTGTGCATCCAAATCCTCGAAGCAAATAAAGCTGACATGCATCAATCCCTAAAGTCAACCCCTTCGCGAAGAAGGAGACGCATAGCGCCCGTACAATCACCACATACAAGGTTCTGACCATCTTGTCGTGGCTCTTGTCCGTCATCGTCTCGTTTTACTACGTTCTGTACACCCCTCATGATGGCTTTACCATCCGCAAAAGCATTTGGGACCAGAACCGCCTGTACCCCACGGCCTTCACCTTGAACTCCCTCATTACCAGCATCTACTGGTGAGTGGTTGTCCCTGACGGACGCCAGCCAACGCGCAGCTGACAACGCCTAGGATCGTCCTCTTCATTCTCCAGATTGGCTACGTCGCTCACCTCTTCTCGAAGAACACCGACAATGTTCAGGCCGCTGCCAGTGTTGGCAGCCACTTCATTTTCAACAACCTGTTGCACTTTGCCTTCGTCATGCTCTTCGTCCGCTCTCACTTTGCCTGGGCCGAAGTTATCCTGATCATCAACTTTATCAACTTGTCCTCGCTCTACTTCCGCCACAACACCTACCCCCGCTTCATCCACGCGCCCGCCGTTGCCGGACCCCTCGCCTGGACCTTCGTCGCCATCTACTGGAACGGCGCCATCATGGTGCACCACCCCGACTCCCTTGTGGCCCGTATTTTCGGCAACATCTTCATCTGGTCCATCCTGGCCTACGGAGGCTTCTTCATTTTTGCCTACAAGGTAAGTGACTCCGCAAGCATGCCTTTATTCTTTTATTTGGGCCATGTGCTAAATCGACCCAGGACTACACCATCGGCTTCGCCCTCAGCGTCCTCGCAGCCTCCATCGGTGTCGGCCAATTCCTCCACCAGATTGTCGCCTTCCAGTGGATCTTCGCGTTCGTCATCATGTCGGTCCTCTTCGTTTCCACGCTCGCCGTCGCTGTGCCCGCCTGGACTGGCCGCGAGACCAACTGGGGCCGTGGCTCGGCTCCCGCTGACGTGGAGCGTGCTCCTCTTCTTGCTGACGACTAGATCAATCATTCCACGAGTTGGATCAAAGTCGAAAATCATGTTGCGTCCTGGGTCCATCTGTCTCTGGGCGCCACATCAATGAGCACAGACTACGAAATTGAGCTACGTGAATCGGGAGCGTGTTGTGACAACAAATTGGTCGACCTAATTGCGAAGGGGGTCTGTGGTTGCCATCATTTTCTTTTGGGGGTGAATGTTCGTTGTGGCAAGTGGTCTTCATCATCGCGATAGCTTTTGCTTGTACATAGCTGGCTCACAGGGAACTGTCTGCGCTGCGCAAATTAACTATTTTACAGCGTCACGATGACTTGCAAATTACACGTTGCGCCTGATTCTTCTTGGGAATGGGAAGCTTTGTCGGACTTTGTTGACATTTCGACACGAGAATGACGTCGTTGTCTCTTATCCAGAAGCTCTTATCAACCCCACAGATCCACATTTGATATGCGTGTCTCTCACCGAGCTTCACCGGTCGCGTCGACTCATGCTCTCTCGTCTCCATCCGTGAAGCACCTACAACGCCCACCTGCAAAAGCCAGAATCCCACCTGTTACTCCAACACGCTACTGCGCCGCGCCAGACATCGAGGCGGTAGCCCCCATGCGATGAAAGCCCCGAGCCACTTCCCATTGCCCCTCAACATTGGCACCGACATTTGCCAGGTCTCGCGCATCTTCCGTCTCCTGACGGGGCCCCGCGGCACGCGCTTCCTCCACCGCGTGCTGACGCCCGAGGAGCGCGCCGCCGCCTCGGCCACGCAGCTGCGGCCGCTGCCGGCGCCGGCGGGCCCTCTCGACGGCGGCTTCGAGGCGCTGCGCGCAAACTATCCAGAGTGGTGGCAACGCTCGACATTTGTGGCGGGACGGTGCGGCATCCCTTCTCTTTTCTTGACCGTTTTTTTGCTTTCTGAAGTGCCGATGCGGACTTCCTCCGGGGTTCCAGGGCGAAACAGAAACAGGCTCCTGGGTGAGGGAGAAACAGGGCTCCGAGTGAGAGAGAAAGGCTGACGGA